TTGATAGGAGGCCTCTATAACTAGGAGAGAACCAATGGGCCATAGGTTGGGCCTTCTTAGCTACCACCTCGTATTCTCCACTCCCCTTCTCCTCCCCAGCCAGCAGGTGTGGAGATTTGGGCAATGATTCAGTGAGCGTCTTCACAACCCTACCGTGTGGATCATTACTGGAGAGGAGGGCGCTTGACCTCCTTCATCCTCTCCCATAGATCTATAGAAATTCAGGGATATACAATCTCCCTAAGTAACACAATTATCTTACGTACAATTTTCAGTTCTGCGAGTTTTTGCATACCAATCTTCGTACAACGATGAAACATTTTTGTGAAAATCTGAAATTCTTTATTTATGTTCTTTCGCTATGCATATGATGTCACCCCTAGATTTCCCTACAATGGTATTAGAGCTAGATTATTCATGCGAAAGATTGGTTTTGAATTACATGTGTTGTGTTTTAGAAAAGCTTTTGATGTCAAAATTATTGACGGCAAAGGCGAGAGAGGGCAGCAATAGTTGTTGGACTTGCAGGTTGGCCAAAGGCTGCTTGTAGGTTGGCCAAAGGTTGCTTGCAGCCTTGGCCGAGAGCTTCCAAGGGAGCTCTTGACCTGGTCACTTGTGTGTAGGGGTCGCAGGCAGCCGGTGGGCACAACGCACGCAGCAGCACTCGCTCGCAAAGGTGCGACACCACTCGCACGGGCACTCTTGCCTGCACTATGCCCGCGGGAAAGGGCGACGACCACCCCCGTAGAGGCGATCGTCGGCGGGTGGCGACGGCCGCAATGCAACAAGCATGGGGAAAAGGGGTTAGGGTTTTTTTGGGTAAAAGGATAATTTAGGCCCTCGAAATTTTAGAAATTTTTAGGTTTGACCTTTCTATCCAAACTACCTAAATACCCCTTATAATTTAGAAATTCCCTACATGTCTCAAATTTCAAAGTTCTCCAATGAGCACCTGCACTATATCGCTGTCTGACAATAATGAATCATCTACCATCTAGCATTCCGTGAGCGGATCAATCAGTGAACTCATTCTCCAATTAGCACATGCACTATATCCCTAGTGTCCATACACGAGCAGCTATGAGATAAGCTGTCTCCATCATATGGGCGAATATATAGTACACCAGTCTGTCCGATTATCTCGATGTTCCTCTCGAGTAACCTATGACTGAGATTATTTAGGGTCTGCGTTTAAAGGTGAATCAGTCTCATTATCATGATCTCATCATGATCTGTTTCCCATTACACAGATCAATGGACATCACAATATATATATTCATGCAACTAGCAATATAAAGTGATAAAATATAAAATATAATAATAAGCAAAAAGATCATATGTCATATCACACGTGTCATCACTCATATAATTGGCTTGCAGGGTACTTATGACTAGCAGATTACAAGTTATAGGTGCCCTACAAGGCAATCCGTGAGTAATGGCACGTGTGACATGACATGCACTCTTTTTGCTTATCATGATTATGGTAATTTCTCACTTTATATTGTTTGTTATATAAATATATTGTGAGTACTCCCCTCTTTGATACCAAACTTATAGGTTTGAAATTTTTAGATCTAGCACAACTGGTCATCGAAAGTGGCGGCCAACCTTACGAGGGCTATTGAGTGTCGATAGAGGATCATCCACTCTCGGTATAATGAGAGGAATATCTAATGTGTTCTTGCTTAGATAAATCCTTAGCCAAAGTTATTTAAATTGAGAGAGAAATAGTTCTCCGGGAGAATCCGATTAGAGCGAGACTCGAGCAAAAATCGTATGGGCCTGATAGCATCATGCTCGGTATACGATCTTTGGGATATTAGATAGATGAGGGACTATAGGAACATGATAACTAAGGATAGATATGTCCAAAGGATTGGATACAAATGTATCATTTAGGGACTACAGCGTAGTGTCCTAGTATGTCCATAGTCGATGAGTCGAGTGAATTATTATGAAGATAATAATTCATTGAGCCAGAAGGAGTTTTGATAGGTATGACTCACGACCAGCTCGATATTGGGCCTAGAGGGTCACAAACATATAGTATGTACTACGATGAGTAGAGGTTCGAATATGAGATATCTACTGGAGCCCCTATCTTATTGGATATCCATTAAGCTCATGAATTATTGGATCTTATAGATGAGATATAATAAGAGCTAATAAGAGATTATTGAGTAGAGACCCACTAATTTAAGAGCTTGGGTAATTAGATAGAGATCCAATACCCAATATGGTAGGATCCATAAGGTTAAGTTGATAGGAGGCCTCTATAAATAGGAGAGAACCAAAGGGTCATAGGTTGGGTCTTCTTGGTTGCCATCTCCTATTCTCCTCTCCCCTTTTACTCCTCAGCCAGCAGGTGTGGAGATTTAGGTAACGATTTAAGGAGCATCTTCATAACCCATACCGTGTGGATCATTGCTAGAGATGAGGGCTCTTGACCTCCTTCATCCTATCCCACAGATCTATAGGAATTCAAAGATATACGATCTCCCTATGTAACATAATTATCTTACATACAATTTTCAGTTTCGTGGGTTTTTGCATACCAATCTTCGCACAATGATAAAATATTTTTATGAAAATCTGAATTTTTTTATTTTTGTTCTTTCTCTACGCATGTGATGTCACCCCTAGATTTCCCTATAGTGGTATCAAAGCTAGATTGTTCGTGTGAAAATTTGGTTTTGAATTGCGTGTGTTGTGTTTTAGAAAACCTTTTAATGCCAAAATCATTGACGCCAACCGCGAGAGAGGGCGGCAATAGTTGCTGGACTTGTAGGTTGGTCAAAGGCTGCTTACAAGTTGGCCAAAGGTTGCTTGCAGCCTTGGTTGAGAGCTCCCAAGGGAGCTCTCGACCTGGCCACTTACGTGCAAGGGTTAGGGTTTTCTGGGCAAAAGGATAATTTTGCCCCTCAAAATTTTAGAAATTTCAAGGTTTGAGCTTTCTATCCAAATTACCTAAATACCCCTCCCAATTCAAAAAATTCTCTACTTGTCTCGAATTTAAAAAAATAGTTAATCAAAAAGTTTAATTAACTATTATTATTTATCTAGTGGTCCTATATAATGATATGTATATGTGATGTATAATGTGGATAGATGATCATGAACCGTGTGATGTGATATATGTGTGTGATGTGATCATTATTATTATTATTATTGAAACCTATGAGTCTCTATTTTTCTCATTTATTATTAGGTCTGCATGCCTGTGATTCTGTTGTGATTACACGAGAAAGCACAACGGGAGCGTAGAGGAAAAAGTGGAACCCACGAGGCCGAGACAGACGATCACGATGCATGAAGATACGTTGAGATGCCAACGGAACTGACAACGATGAGATGGACAATCGCAAGGCATAGAGATACGCTGCTACACAAATAGATCTTGATGTAAGTGATTAAGCTCACTAGCTCGGGCTTGATCACATTAGGATATGATTCATGATCATTTGATGTGATTGCTCATGTGATGCACGATTACTAATACACCTACCAGATGATCATGAACCACATCCTAATGTGATCATAATCCTCTCTCAAGGTAAAATCTTGTGTTAGCCATTTTTCTTTTTCTTATTTTTGAAATAAATAATTATGTCATGAAACAAATAAATCATACTTGTCCATCATGATAAACATAAGAGAAGAGAAAGTGATTGTGAGTGACTTATGGATAACTTAAATACATAATTATGTTATCGTAAAGTTTTTAATGAGTGTGAATAACTTAATGATGTATGGCATTATCATCCATTCAACTGTCTATTAATGCATAACATGAAACTTGTTGAAAAATAAGTGAGGACATAAGCAACAAATTTTCTAGAACTAATTTGGTTCAAAAACTAATGCAAAAAAATGTGAGCTCCATTTGTTTTCTTAAAGGAAGGATTCACAAAAATGCGAGCTCCGATATCTTTTATGTCTTTTCATACCTTTTGAAAAGAATTTTACGCTCTTCAACCTCATTATCAATTTATAATCAATAGTTGCCCCCAAAATCATCCAACATTCTTTGTCCACTATTACGAGTCCTTCGTTTTAGAATCTTTTATTAGATTAAAATTTTAGTAACTAAGCATGTTACGAAAAAAACTAATGATACTATTCTTTATTTTGAAGACACCAAAATAGTAATTACAAGAAAAATTTCTTCAAAATAAGAAATAAATATTTTTGAAAAAAAATTTATACTCTGCAACATCATTGCCCGCTTATAATCGGTAGTCGCTCCACAATCATCCAACAATCTTCTCTGTCTATTCATTTAAATCTTTCCTCTTAAAATCTTTCGTTAAATTAAAATTTTATCAACTAAACATATTACTAAAAAAATAATGATACTGTTCCTTATTTTTAAGACACTAAAATGATAATACAACATTACATTATAAAAAAAACAAAAAACACTTCATCTGACGTTAATAGTTAACTGAAACTAAAGCTAAACACGAGAGCCATGTTGGGTCTATTTGAAGGCACAAGCAAAGTCAAAACACATAATCTAATTCCACTTAATGTGTGAGACTGGATATGTTATTTCCAGAACAAATATGTTATTTCCTTGGAAGTATGTTCCGTCCAAGCGGCTCCTACATAATTCTTTGAGATGTCTCCCCCTTAAAAGTAAGGTGTGTCCTTATTAAATTAGATCACAATCATCTAAATATGACAGCACAGTTAACAATATGCCTTCACACCAATTAACATGACCGAGGCCAAGTGGACACTGATCGATCGGTTGGCAGAATTAGCTAAATATGGTAGAAACAGAACACAAAAAGCTTGATAATTTGGTTACCTTTCCAAAGTAATTGACTTCCCCCCACTCCTATTTCTGAGACATCAGCATAAAAGAATCAGTACCTTTTGTTGCAGAAAAACCAAATAGAAGAATCACCAAATCAACATGGAAGTTATACTCCAAGAAACTCTTGGAGAATTTAAATTGTCACAAATGTAAAATGATTAATTTGCAGTCAGCACTAGCAATCCAAGTTATCGGCAACAACATGGTGCTTTCCCTGCACAGCAACAACATAGGAATCATATTCAGCAATAAATTTCTCCTTGCGGAGCAGGAAAAGGAATTTCTTTCTGAACTTCTCTTCGTTTGGTATCATGACAGATGGCAGGTTATGTTCTCTATCCAGCAATTTATTCTGATTAAGAAACTTCAGAACTTCATATCGAGGTCTCAACCTCTTCTCCAAGCTATACTTCAGAAGCATCGGATAGCGACTGATACATGTCAGCTCACAACCAGCTTCCTTCGTCAGGAATGTCATCTTGTCACATATGTTCTTCTTCGAGAATGACCAAATGTTTGGGCACTTCCTGAATAAAGCATTGATGTCAGGCTGGGACCACCCAAAGCTCATCAGAGTTACCGACATAGCATCAAACTTGGACCTGCTCACATTAACGACCACATGAAGTGCATAAGTGTATACTCCAGAATCACGTGGGACACCCAATTCCTCAATATATTTGATAACTTCCTTTAATTTGTCTATTCTACCAAAATAGCCCGGCATTGTCACCACCATATGCGCGATGCGCTCGTCACTGATGCCATGTTCCCTCAAGAGAGATATACTGGGTTCTATATTCCGAGCCAAGCTAGAAGTAAGAATAAACAAGTTCCTCTTGCAGGCTTTCAGAAACCTCTCATTAGAACCAAGAAGTGACCTCCAGAAGTTGATCGTTGGTTGGATATCACGGAAATAGAGCAGAGTCGGACATGAAAAAACCAGCTGAATTATTTCAGTGTCAGAAAATCCCATGTCCTGCAAAGATCTCATCCTGGGCTTCAGGACAGTCTCTACGTTAGCAAATATCAACTTGGGTTGCCTCCGGGTAAGCTTCATGACTTGTGCATCACTCCAACCGCTCTGCTTAAAGAACTCAATGGAAGGACTTGAACTTGGAAGTTTTTTTTCACAGATGCGATCCTTGGCCATTTTCGCAGCCTCTTTTGAGGAAAGTTCACATGACTGAAGGGGGTCGACCAACATAAATTTGGATCTATGATTTGAACTGTGGTCTTCGGCAGTGGAAAAGCTAAACAGACCGCAGAGTTGATACGAGGAAAGATGGATGGTGGACTTGTTACATGAGAGAAGGCAAAAT